CTAGGAATGGGGAAAAAATAAGAACCAAGATGCATTATGTAAAGGTACAATTCCCAATGAGAAATGTAATTGTGTTCTATACCTACAATGTACCAATAAAAGAATTAAAAAAAAAAAAAGAGTAGGAAGATGGGACCCAGGCACCGGAACCACTGAGCTAAATCCCTGGCCCCTAGCTCTTGTTCTCTAAAAATCGAAGAATGAATTCTAGGAACAATGGAGGTTAACAGTAGGAAGATAGGACCGGAGATATACCTCAGTGGTGCTGTACCTGCCTGGCAAGTGCAAGGTCCTGAGTTCGATCCTGGGTTCTGGAAAGAAAAAAAAAAGAGTAGGAAGGTATTTATTGATAGGAAAGCTCCTGAGGGGCAGCAGTGTGGTCACTTAGGTAATAGTGATCCAACTGAGAAACAAGTCAGGGAACAAGCTCGGATGGAAAGAACAAAGACTTCTCCTAGGAAGTGGTGGGTCCACAGGTCTCTGTTTACCCACCAGGGTAGCTGATATCTATCTAGACTTCATTAGGCCCACTGTTTGTTCTTTGAGAAGTATGCAGGTCTGGTCATCTTGTCTTTATCGTGAGGCCTGGTTTCCAACCAATATGTCTCCAGCCACAGCAGTGGTGTATTTCACCTTTGTCTTGACTCTCGAGGACCTAGCCCTATCTGACTGCCTAAAATATTTCTATCTAAATCAGCTGTCTATAATATCACCTTGTGATTTCCCATTGGATCAATATTACTTAAACAACTATACTCATTGTCAGGCTTGACCTGGTTGTGAAATGGTTAATGGATATGCTCTTTAATTCCAAGCTACATTTTGACAAGATATAAAAAACCACAACAAAACAGGCACCCAATGCAGGTGCTGTCTCTGCCCGACAAAAGCTGTGGTATCTGAGACACAGAACACAGGAGGAATGTTCCCAATATAGAGATAACCACCACAAAGTATAGCATCTTTTCAATGCCAAGTCACCTGAAAATATCCATATATCTGCCTCGATCACTACATGGATCCGACCACAAATATTTGCTCTGACCCCTATGCATGATCGATGTGCCAGACCTCTCTCCAATGCCGTATAAAGCCTTCTGCCTTTTCTTTGTTTGGGGCTGGCCGCCTCTTGCCTGCCGTCCCTCCACCTCTGCCCAGGTGAATAAAGTCTGTACCTCTTTGCTTTCACAAGCTTGCTCGGTGGTCTCATCCCTCCTAGCCATTTGTTACACTTATAACCCTATTAACTTTATTTTTGTCCCATCTTATACCATCCTCACCTTGTGGCTTTGCTCAATGAAACACCTTTGAGTGGAGGTGGGTGGGCAACCCACTTTCTGGTTCCCCTTCTGTCTCTCTTAGAAGCTATCTTTCTCTCAATAAATTCTTCCTACTCTTAACCTCCATTGTTCCTGGAATTCATTCTTTGATTTTAGAGAACATGAACTCAACATTTCGGATATCTAGCAGTTGGGAGTTAGAATATTTCCCTTACAGTATTTAGATTAGTTGGAGGTCCTATATCATACACCCTCTATCAATGGGAAATGGACTAATACGTCATACATGCATAACATACTGAGATCTCCACACCCCCACTATTCCCTTTGCCTTGCCCTCCTCTGTACCCTTAGTCCTTTCCACTTTTCCACTACTCTCCCCTCTGCAATCAGTGTATTTTAGTTTGCCTTTTGTTTATAAGATTGTATTTTTTTTCATGCTTAACAATCAGTTGTAAACTGCTTTTTTATGAATTGTTAGTTCCTATATTTTGGTCCAATTTTCTGCTTGGTTGAGGAGTTATAGGAGCTCACCATTTCTATTGCAAAGATAATAACCAGCATAAAGAATTGAAAAAAATTTTTTCTGTACGACCTGGCAAGTTATCCACTGGCGGTGAGAATACTAAAATCCTTTTAAGGTCACTACATTTAGTTTCTTTACAAATACAGACAATAGGCGAAGTCCTGACTTATTAAGAATTCTATTGTTTTGCTTAATCATAATTTTCTTTAATTTCTATTTACAACACTTTTTTCTTTTTGGAAACAGGGTCTTGCCATGTAGCCCAAACTCTCCGTGATGATCTTCCTGTTCAGCTCCCCAAGTGTTTGGATTACAGGCAAGTGGTGGCATGCCTGACTGAATTTTTAGTTTTCACTCTCCCAAAAAAGCCCTGGGCAAGGTGATTTTAAAAAAGATACTAATTAATACATAAAGATTTAAACTGGGCATGGTGTCCCATGACTGTAAGCCCAGCACTCTGGGCAGCGCAGGCCAGAGAATCTAGAGTTAGAAGCCAGCCTGGACAATTTGGTGACTTAGCAAGACCCTGTCTCAAAATTTAAAAAACTTTAAAAGGGTTAAGGGTGTAGTTCACTGGGAAGCCCTGGGTCAACCCCCAGTATAGAAAAGGAGAAAAAGAAAAAGGTATACCTAATATGGTGGGTAAAAGATACTTTGGAATAAAGCATTATTTCCAAAATAGATTTGGGGAATGCACTACTGTCCATAGCAAAAATCTACTCTATTTTTAGGGGATGAGGACACACAGATGTTGAAAGGGCAATCTACAGAGATCTTGGGTAATAACGGAAAAGAGAGTTTAATTTCTTTCTTTTTTTTTCTTGGTACCGGGGATCAAACTCGGGTCCTTCCGCTTGCAAGGCAGGAGGTGGAACCACTGAGCTAAATCCCTGGCCCAAGAGAGTTTAATTTGAAAGTGATTAAATCTAGGGACTTTGCACTGAGCTACATCCTCAGCCCTTTTTTAAGTGTTTAAATTTTGAGACAAGGTCTTGTTAAGTCACTAAATTGTCCAGGTTGGGTTCCAACTGTGAATCCTCTTGCCTCAACCTCTAAGAAGGCTGAGATTACAGGCTTGCACCACCATGCCCAGCTCCCTTTTATTATTTTTGAGAAAGGGTCTTGATAAAATTGCACAAGCTGGGCTCAAATTGCATTTCCTACCTCAGTCTCCGAGTTCTGGGATTACAGATGTGCACCACTATGCTTGACTGTTCTATTCTTTAACATTATTTTTTAACATTATTTTTAGCTCCTAGTTACTGTACAAATAATTGCACCATCACTGTGTTATTCACAGTGGACTACTAATCTCTCTCTCTCTTTCTCTGTACCAGGAATCAAACTCAGGACCTTGTGCTTGCCAGGCAGGCACAGTGCCACTGAGCTACATCCCCAGCCCCAGGACCATTCATCTCTTAAAATTTACAGTGAGCAACATGTGAAACAAGAGATACCGATAACACTGTGGGAGTGCCTGTGCTGAATGCCACAGGCTTCTTTTCTGACAAGATTCTTTTATGCAGCTGAGTCATCTGCATGCAAAGCACATCTTCAAAGCTGGTTCAGAGAAAATAACTGGCCACTGGGCAAACTAAGTGTGGTCTAGAGTTCTGGCCTACTCTACTATTTAAGGGAGCTGAGGTAATCCGGGTGGTCCTTCGACTGGTCATTTGCTGCTAGATGATCTTTTAGAAATCTCAGCATTAATATTCTGGGAGTGTTTTCTAGAAACCGTTTTGAGCCAGAAAATGTGTTTCTTTAAGGAGAAGCACCTGCACCTTGCAAAGGAACACATCTGTGTTTTTGTAACATATGTGTCTTAAGAAAAAGTGACCCTAAACCGGGGTCGGTGGTACACGCCTGTAACTCCAGCTACTTGGAAGGCTGAGGCAGGATCCAAAATCCATGGACAGTCTGGGCAACCTGGCGAGACCCTGTCTTAAAAATAGAGAATAAAAGGGCCGGGGATTTAGCTGTGTTTCCGGTGCCCGCCTCGCAAGTGCAAGGTCCCGAGTTCGATCCCTAGTACAGAAAAGAGGAAAAAAAAAAAAAAAAGGAAAAGAATAAAAAGGATTGGGAGTGTGCACCCGAGGGGGGAGGGGGAGGGGGAAACAATCACAGTGGCTCTAAACTCAACAGCTCAGTTTGAGGTAGAACTATCACGCTGCCCTCTCTCTACTCGGGGAAACTTTGGGTATGGGTAGTCGGATAGTTTCATTTATTTCTGCACAAACCTTTAGCTCCAGGAAGTTGCAGGAGTCAGCCTATACCTGTCCCGGGCACTGTCCGAGGGCAGCAGCTTCAGACGCCACCGAACACCTTCCTGAACACACTCTTGGGCTTCAGCCCACCTTTGCATATACACCCTAGGCCCTAGCCCACATTCCCGCGCACACCTGTCCCAGGCAGTTCTGGACCCTCCCTACCTCTTCGAGCACACTTGCCCGGGACAACAGCCCGAGGCAGCGCCAAAGCGCTCCATTCCGAGGACGTCAAAAGTATGGTTTTTAGGAGCCGGGATTTAGCTCAGTGGTTCCGGCGCCTGCCTCACAAGCGCAAGGTCCCTAGTTCGATCCCCCGTACAAAAAAAACAAAAACAAAAACAAAAAACCAGTTGCGCGCGGGACTACTTTTTGCAGACCCTCGGGCCAGGCGGAGGGATCCCTTCCGGGCGCTCGCGCGGAGGACCGCAGTACTTGGAGAACCGCAGTACTTGGAGAACCGCAGTACTTGGAGACCAGAGGCAGTGAGCCTGCGCTTTCCCCTGTGCCGCTGCTCGTCAGCCAGCGCCAGGGGAACCCCTACTACCTCGGTCTCGCACCCACAATGGCGCAGATTCTCCCCATCCACTTCCAAGACCATTTCCAGGTGAGGCCGGGCTCGGGCGCCAAATTCCGCCGGACCTCGGAGAGGCGAGTCGCGCGACCCGTTCTGTCAGCCGTGCCCCCAGCCCCGCCGAGCCGCTGCTGGACGCCTGCGGGGACCTGCGACCTCCGACCTCGGGTGGAGAGCTTCAGGGCGTGGGCGCCTTGGCCGCACGTGCAGACCCACTCATGGCGCTGTCGCCGACGTCTGTTTCCCGCAGGGCGGCTGGGCAGGGTCTTAGGTATCTGGACAGGCAAGAGCTCCCGAAATGGGAGCCTGACAACTGCCTGCGCGCCTCTCGTTAGTGCCTGGGGAAAGCTTTAAGTGTTGCCATTCTAGGTTTCTTAACTCTTAAGATCCGCGACCAGTCCTCAGTTTTCCACTTTGCACTTGCAATCCTTTGCACTTGCGTCTGTGCGTTGTTTGGACTCCAAGGTGGCTTCGGGGTGGAGGATTGTCAAAATGTATGGCTCAAGAGGAAAATTAGATACCGCTTGGTTTAATGAGACCCTTTGGATGCGCTAACACTCCCAAAGTTTGGCTTTTTAATGAAGTTTCAATTTGTTTTTCATTTTTGGTATTTTTTGTTTGGTTTTGTTTTTGGTACCGGGGATCGAACTCAGGACCTTGCCCTCGCGAGGCAGGCGGTGGAACCACTGAGGTAAATCCTTGGCTCCAATTTGTTTTAATAAATTTGTGCTTGGGGAAAATAAGGACTGGCCATGTGTGTGTGAACAGGATTCAAATTGGGCACCGAGTGGAGCCCTTCACTCCCAAAGTCCTGGGAAGGGAGAGAGGTCTCACAGATTACAGGAGAGGGGATGAGACTAGAGAAGTAAAAACCAGTGGCTCCATCCTAAGAGCTTTTATGTTAAATCGTTACAATCCAGTAAGTTAGGTCTTTTTCACTGTTTTATAGATGAGAAAACCGAGTCAGAGAAGTTAAATACCTCTTTAAGAAGAGCAGGATTCAGACTCAAATCTAGTCGACAACAGAGCTGTACAGCAATGAATGTGGTCAATTGAAAGGCCATATTTTCAAGTTCAGAACGCTGTTGGCTCTGTATCCAAATGACAAAGGTCTTGGGAGTTTTATAATGACCAGTCCAGTCCCCTTATTCTACAGATTGAAAACTTGGTATCTAGAGTGTCCTGCCTAGGTCATTTGGTTGGTGCTACGGTTGAGGTTGTGTCCTAACATTTGTCTCCTCTGTGGACTTAATTCTAACTCTAAGGTGAGCCAGTGCCAGTAATGTGAGGTAGCAAATATTGCTGCTGCTAATAGTAATAAATAATGTCATA